GGATGAGTGAGTGCGGTGGAGTAAGAGAGGGGGATGAGTGAATGGGGTGGAGTAAGAGAAGGGGATGAGTGAGGGGTGAATGAGGTGGATTAGTGATGCGAGTGAGTGAGTGGGGTGGGTGATTGTGAGTGACGTATGACGATAGGAGCACCAGGCTGGTGTAAAATGAACACAAGTTGTTTCCTCGTGCTGTGTGGGTTTATCTTGCATGGTGATGTTGATGTTTTTTTATTATTGGAAGCGGTGTCACAGCGTGAGTGTCTTTGGATCTGGGCGACAGGCAGACGATTATCTTTAATCACTCGATTTCTCTTTGCAGGGCATTTTCCCCGTGGGTTACATTCACCTGAAGGACGCCGCCATCGAAGGCAGCGGGTTAGTCCTCTTTAAACCCTGTCGCCTGCTTGCTCTCTGCTTCCTGCCAAAGGGACTGTTTTTATAGCCCCAGTTGACATGTGATCGATGTTTGTGAGGCCAGGACCTCGTTACTTAGCAGGACGGACCCCCTTTTCTCTCCGTCATAAAGCTCAGCGCATCGTTCCCCCAAACCCTCAGAGGGCGTGATTAATGGACACATGAGCCCCCCCCCCACCTCACTCCCACTCACACCCCCGCCTGGCTGATCTCGCCACGCCAGGCTCCGTGTCCTTGGCTGTGAAAGCTTCTGTCTCCCGCCGCTTTACGTGCATCTTCCTCGAGATGAGTACGGATATCCAGCTAAGTCTGCACATCTGAAAGCCGGAGATCAGGAGATGGGGCCGGCGTTTTGGGGGGGGGGTGGTGGTAGTGGGGTTTTTTTTCCTCAAGGTGTCAGATTGTCATGCTCTGTCATAGTCCTCATGCTGTGCATCCATGAAATGACACAATCGAGGCAGCCTCACTTGTTATAAAAGGTGAAATTAAACTAAAATTTCATCGATGGAGAAAAAGTATCTGGACAGTTAAGGGCAGCGATAATGGGGGAAAAAAATTGCTCTCTTTGGCAGGAGAGCAGATCTTGATGGGTTGTGTGTGCGCACACGTGTGTGTGCACCCGCCTTCTCTGCACTTCCCACCTTTCTGGTCCGTACCCCTCAGTCCTGTCTCTGAGCCTAGTCACCTGATATCCCCACTGCCTGTTTGATGGACGCGTGAGACGGACCCCAGGGCAGTCAGTGCGAACCATCTCCCCACAGGCAGAAGGAGACCGTCATCCCCATCGAGCAGCCCCTGGTCCACGAGGTCACCACCACATTACGAGAATGGGCTGCCATCTGGAGGGAGCTCTTTGTGGTGGGTGTCACCGTCCCCGTGGCGACCACACAGATCGGGACATGTTTGCAGGCACCCTACTTAAGCAGGCATGCTAACACACGAGCACACAGACACAGGCTTTCAGGTACAAGTACGAATAAACAAGGTAGATCTTACCATTAGGGGATCTCGTCAGCTTAAACAAGTTCTGCTTCTTTATCAGATGGTCCAAATGAACCTAAGGTACATCAGCCTGGCCTAGTTCAGTCTGTGTCAAACTGAGGCCCAATTCCCATCCGCTAGGGGGACAAGCGGGAGACCTTCAACAACGTCCGCGACATGATCTACGACCTCATCGAGTGGCGGTCCCAGATCCTGTCCGGCACCCTTCCTCAAGACGAGCTGACGGAGCTCAAGCAGAAGGTCACCTCGAAGATAGATTACGGGAACAAGTGAGTGTGGGGGGCACACCCATCCCGTGTAGCGAGCCACAGCCCCACCCATGGGCTGCTTTGTCACCCTGTACTCCCTGAACAGAGATGCATTAGTCTGCGATCGTGGTGACCGCGATTCAGGCCATCACAGCGACCAATATACAGCAGAGAGGGACAAATGCATTGTGCTCAGGGCTGAAAGCCCGTTCGGGAACAGGAGGGAAGTAGAGTGGCATTTACTTTTGGGTCTCGAAATATTGCCTTTTGAGAGGTCAGGGACATTATCTCTCCTTTGAGGTACATGCTGGTACGTCATTTTTTTTTTTTACGCTGCATTACATTTTACTTAATGGTAGTCTTACCTCCCACAGTCGGGCTTTTCCGTAACAGCACTCGCTCAAAGAAAAAAACATCTTAAACTTTGTCAGGTACCTGGGCCTGGACCTGGTGGTTCGGGATAAGGACGGGAATATCCTGGACCCAGACCTGACCAGCACCATCAGCCTGTTCCGAGCCCATGAAGCGGCCTCCAAGCAAATAGAGGAGAGGATACAGGAGGAGAAGGTAGTCTCTGCCTGTCCTGACAGCCTTTTTCTGAAGTGAAGTGAAGGCTGAAGTTCAGCTTGAGTACACTGCTCCCTTTATAGGAACCGACTCCAGCCTGTTCTCACGTATCCTGTTAGATATGATGGACGTTTTGCTGCCAAAGCCTAGGAATGGAGGTGGAGAGTGTTTCCTCCCGGAGAATTGTGTGGGCCGAGGTTACATAAGAGAACTTTCCTCAGTTCAGAGAGCTGAAGCTCGCCGCTCGGTGCCGTGGCTCTGACTTGGTCCGGCTGCTGGATGGAGCCCAGATGAGCACCGAAGCCCTTGAGCCAGACTAAATCTCGAGGGTTTTTATCAGCCGCTCACTGCGCCGTTTTCTGTGCCTGTTAGAAACGTTCAGTCAGCCTCCCGGTTCTGTCCGGACCCCGGCGAGCCGTGGGCCATCGTTTGTTTCCCTCAAGGTCACTTAGCCCTGCTGTCAATCATATGTTTCAGGGAAACTGTAGTTTTTGTACAAAGACAAGTTTTCAATCAGTGTGGGGGTGTCAGATGTTACAGCAGATGTTCTTGCATCGAGGCAGGATGAGGCCTTATCTCGTTTCGGTTCATTCCGAGTGTCAGAGGTAAGTCATTTTTAGGGACTTCACTGGGCTGCCAGGAAGTTTGAGGCTGGTGGTGAGTTACCTTTCAGACCAGGGGCCTGTTTCACAAAGCAGGATTACTTGCTTAGCCAGATAATTTGCCAGATTTAAGGTAGTCTGGGCTAAATGTAAGTTGATGAAAATAAGGTCTATTTAGCCCAGACTACCTTAAATCTGGCAAATTATCTGGCTAAGCAAGAAATCCTGCTTTGTGAAACGGACCCCAGCTGTCCATGTACATGTGGGCTTTTATTTTTAATTCCCCCCCCACCCCACCCCACCCCACCCTGAGATAACAGCACAGGGGAATCACAAAGAGCTGGCATTGACGGCATCACAAAGAGACTCGCCTCTTTCTTTAATGTCTCTCGACTGGCCTTTGTGCCCTTTGTTTCCTGTGTACGGCTGCAGTTCGCATCTGCACCCGACAGTCATCTTCTGTGATAGCGGCGAGTTCAGGTATCCTGATTATCTGATACACATGCGGATCGTCGCAGTTGTGTCACAATCAATGGCAGCACTAGCCTGGCCTATTGCTTCACCAGTTATGTAATGTTTGGCCCTTTGTTGGCATCTGCCTGGAGGAGAATCTTCTGTTTTTGGGAAGGCCCGTATGCACCGGCCGTGAGCTTGAACGCGATGGCTGCGTCTGCTTGCTCCGACAGTCCCAGAAGCAGAACCTGGACCTCAGCCGGCAAGAGAAGTTTGCCTCCACGCCTTCCTTTGCCTTGTTCATCACCCTGAAGAATGTGGTGTGTAAGATCGGCGAGGATGCGGAGGTGCTCATGTCTCTGTACGACCCCGTGAAGTTCAATTTTATCAGGTAGCCTGGTCCCGTTAGCCTCGCAGCTTCACGCAGCTGCAGAAGCTTTGATTCTCGTCTTCTGTGACGTCTGTTTGTGTGACCTGTGTGTGTGACACTTGATGAACACCCATTCCTGCCTATCCACTTGGAACTTGACTGTCTGTTAGTTATGCTTTGATGTGGTGTCTCATTTTGTGGTTCAGTAATATTATTTAACTTTTAAGATGAAATTCGCCTCCCCCTCCCCCCCCCCATAGTGAGAATTACCTGGTGCGATGGTCAAGCTCCGGATTGGTGAAAGACATCGACCAGCTGCACAACCTGCGAGCCGTCTTCACTGTGAGTGTTTGGCCAGCTGTGCCTGATTTCCAGCTCGCGTGTGGATCTTCACCCTCCCCTCTGCCAGTGTGATTAAAACCAGGCCATCCATCCATGGCCTCAAATGGGAGTTTGAAGCTCTTCTCCCGAGGCCTCCTATCATTAAGCACCTGCTGCTGAGTGTGTCCGCTTTATGGAGTGCATTATGAGGGTGCAGCCTGGAGTCAGACTGGTGTTTAGCTTGAAGCTGTGCTTCCCAGTCCAGTCTTCGGGGTCCCACTGGCAGTCCACGTTTTTGCAGAGCTGGGAGGGAGCAAAAATGTGGACTGTCTGGCAGGGAGCTCGGAGGGAGCAAAAACACGGACGGACTGTCGGTCCCCAAGGATTGGTTTGGGAAACTCTGGTTTAAAGCACCTGTAATATGGCCTTGCCCTGTCTTGGCAGTCAGTCCCGCATAAGCATCTGCCATCTGTGGACTGTTAAATGATGTCCAGCCTTGGACATGGTGACTGATGAGAGCCTTGAAGCAGAGGTGAAAACTTCAGGTCCAGAAAGCAAAAATCTAGATCAAGATTTTGTTTCAACCAACCAGTTAAGTGTGAATATGATGTTTTTATTCTAATCTGATTGGTTGAAATAAAATCTGGATTATTACGTTCTGGACCTGAACTTTCCACCTCTGAGTGACTGGATCCACGGCCCGTCTATGGTTCTGACCCTCACCTTCTCTTCGTCTGCTCAGGACCTGGGCAGCGAGGACCTTAAGAGGGAGAAGATCTGCTTCGTCTGTCAGATCGTGAGGGTCGGTCGCATGGAGCTGAGGGACAACAATGCGCGCCGGTTGACCTCAGGGCTCCGCCGGCCTTTTGGAGTTGCCGGTAATCCTTCTGTTCAGTCACACTTCGACCTAGAGTGGCACTCTAAATGAATACCCTAACAAAAAAAAATCTTCCCAGATGCATTTTTTTTTAAAGAATTGTAATATTCTGTATTGCTAAAGAAATAGCTGTACCCTCAACTGGAAGGTTGTGGGTTCGAATCCCCTGGCCAGTAGAGTAACCGTATCACCATTGGGGTCTTCAGAAGCTGCTCTAGGGACACTGGCTGGTTCTGCTCTCCGATCCTCACTTGCATGTTGCTTTGTCCCACACTCGATAAATAAAAGTGGATGTTTTTCTTTGCAATTAATTTTTTTTTTGAGTTGAAAAGATTATTTATGTTTTTGTTCAGGCAGCTTGGCGGACGAGTCGTTTGTCTGCCTCGTTGAGTAGCCTCATCTTGGACAGAAACCAAAGGGTTTTAGCTCAGGTTAATTCAGAGGAATCGTCGTCTGATCGGCCCCTGCAGGCGGAATGCTGGCTGTGTAGAAAACTAATTAGGCTGGCTCGGTGCCCGGGGTGTGCCAAGATCTACGGCTTGCTCCAACCCCCCTCCCCTTGTGTTCTGGCTCACATGAGAGATCAAACCAGCTTCCTTATGCATGATACTTTATCATACTGGATTTTTTTTTTGTCATCTATTCTGGAATGGGCCCCATTTTTGCATAGACCTGCACAACGTATTCGCTTCCGAATTACGTGATGGTCGCTTACACAGCCGGGTGAATGTACGTTTTAAGTTGGGTCGCGTGCTTCCTTGACTCGCAGAAGTGCCCTTGTGTGTCGGCCAGGAGGAATCGAAGCAGGTGTTGCGTGGAATCCGCCGTAAACGCGCCCGTCGGCATCCCGTAGGCTGTCTGAGGGCTCACCCATAAAGTCGATTTCCAGCTCCGCTCCGGATCAACCTCTCTGTGAACGACCAGCTGTTTAGTTTTCTTATTTATGAAACAGGAAGATGGCGGAAAAAATGACCGCGGTCCATTTGCGAGAGACCCACAGCCCGCTGATTCACCGCTGTATTGTTTCCTAGTGATGGACGTCACCGACATCATCACGGGTAAAATGGACGACGAAGACAAACAGCATTTCATTCCGTTCCAGCCGTAAGTTGACACCAACGTTGTAATATCAATCATCTCCTAGCTGTATTTTAAGGTTTGCTTTAGTATGAGGGGGAGTGAGAAACTACACATGAGTAACTTTGAGTAGCATCACATCACTGGTTGTATTTGAATATGTTCCCCTTTGCCCATGTGAACAGGGAGCGGTGAGCAGGAAGTTGTCATTTCCAAAGAGGAAGTGAGCCCTAATGACATAATTGATTAAATGTTTTTTTTTTTTTTTTAAAGTGCCTTTAGGGTACGAACTGCATCGCCCCAGACGTCTGCAGTAATTTGACTTCTCTGTCATTCTGAGCTGGGCCTGGTTTCCCCTGTAGACCTCCCCTAGAGATGAGTGTGATAGGAGCCCCCCCCACACTGCATCCGCGCACTGTAATCACATTCATCCAGGCTGCATTGTTGATGTTATGTGATACATCTCAATGTATTTCACTAATGCCTTAAGATCTGTACTGGAATTAAATCTCGAGAGGTTACTCGCCGGTCAATAAATGATTTGCTATTGTTTCTAATATAAAAAAAAAAAAACATTTAAAGCTAATTTTGGCCGATTTATTTCATACTTGATTGGTTAGTCTTCATCTTCGGCTTCCAACGGGAACCTGGACACGGTGAAGGGGGTGTGGTCAGTGCCAGCCGCACAGGGCATTTCCTGCGCGTTCCTGTCGCTCTTCTGGTTGGCGCGCTCGGTGATTTGGGTCTCTGATGCTCGTCGTTGAGGAAACGTTCCAGGATGGGGGGGTGAAGGGGCTTCCTAAGCTTCTCTTGCTATAGCGTAAAAGTGAAAACAAGCTTCCAGACTCTGGGGTTCGACCTGGCATCACTCACTTAAACGTTCTTCTCTCTCTCTCTCGTTACCCTTCCTGCCCCACTGTTGGCTAACAACCACTTTGTCTTTGTCATGGAATTTGCATCACTGTTTTGGTACGTTTCCCTCCCTGTCTCGTCTACCGCCACCCCCCAACCCCCACCCACATGCCCATGACCTTCTGCTTCTCTGTGCCCCCACCCCCTGTCTGCCCCTGTGCTGGCACCCATCACGTACATCCTCCAGGCTTGCCTTGGATGACGCCATTCGCCACAGGCAGCTGAACATCTCCCGTTTTTCACCCAGGGTGGCAGGGGAGAACGACTTCCTCCAGACAGTCATCAACAAGGTCATCGCTGCCAAAGAGGTCAACCACAAGGGACAAGGTACCGAGGGTCGCGTGGGGACGTGCTGGCTTTCCCGCTTTTCCCGTCAGCGCTCGCCCGTCATTATGCCATGTCCATGTGTCTCCTCCATTCCATTCTGACTGCTCTACTCCGCTAAAATTGCTTAGCATTGCTACCTTGAGTTGCCTTGATTTAAAACCCAGACTTCCGACCCTCCATCCTGGTCACGGTCACCGGGGGAAGGGCAAGATCCTATCCCACAATGCACAGGGCACAAAGTAGGAATGCACTCCGAATGGGATGCTTCTCCATCACGGGCCCACGTAGCCGACCACCCGCTACGGGCAGTGTTTAGAGTAAGCCTAATTGCATGTGTTTGGACTACAGGAGGAACCCACTGGCAACCCCGAAATCTCAAGGGCAGCTTGCAAAGCCTACACACACAGAGCATGAGATCCTCCAGTGCTGGAGGTACAATGGGAACTGCAGCACCACCCACAGGCCACGGTTCCAAGTAACACGGGGGCTTTTTAAAGTTTAAGACGTTTCTTTACGTCTTTAAATGTGCCTCCACATCTTATTTAGATAAAGGAGGTTATATCATTTTTACAGCTGTTCTTCTGTAATTAAATCTGAATCGAAGCACACGACTATCAACTTACCATTAACCTTTAAGATCTTTCACCCACCGTTTATGAGGGGCGTTCATCTTTCTTGAAACTTGCAGGGGCTTTGACTAATCATTTAGCTCATGCTGTTCGGGAACTGGGTAAATTTGCAGACTGTCCCCGACATACGACTGGCTTGTCAGTGATTATTTATTTCCCCTCTAGACTGCGGTTGTATGTGCGAGCCGTCATAATTCGGGGACGGTCTGTAACAGGGAAATAAATTAAGTGATAATGGCTTTTTCACATCAGTGGGGATTTCAGGCAGCTCGCTTCTGCTGGATGTGTGGAACGTTTCTCTGTTAAATGCTGTCGCTGTTTGAATTTCCATAATATTTACCATCTGATGGCAGCTGACAGGCGACTGTCAATGACTGCTGTCTGTCTTTTGAGGCTTCTGCACATGATACCAGCAGGAGCTCTTATTAGCAGCGTGTGTGTGTGTGTGTGCGTGTGTGTGTGCGTGCACGTGCAGGACTCGCGTGCAGAAACTACAGGGACCTTAGACGAGGGCCATATTCACACTTGTCCCAGTTGTCCCCAGTCCCCCACTGGTCTGCACTCACATTGCGCTTAACGTTCCGGGCCTGAGCACACGCTCGTCGTCACCGTGCAACTTTCCGGGTTACAGAAAACGTCGGAAGAAAAGTACAAACCCGCAGCACATGGAGTTTATAATTAATATCCTTATTTTGTGGCTTATTTGGAGTCGTTTTGGGCGCGATGACACGCGGCCCACTTATAGATTTATTGACTATGCAGCGATTTTTTTTATTTATTCTTGCTGCGTGTATAAGAAGGTAACTCCATATATTACCTGATGTCTGAGTTTTTGTTTTGTGTATCTAGTTGTTCCCGGATACTATCATCAGCCCAGATTTCCAGCAAACACTGCACCTCTGCCGCAGAACAAAGTAATCCCTGACCTCCATGTTTATTAAATGTTAGCTGAGACCCGATCTGCATGCAACACTTGTTTTTGCAACACAGTTTTGCAGGGGGGGGGGGGGGGGAAATCTGTACAGCCTACGCCATCAGTTCCTTCCCGTTCCGCTTCATTTATAATGTGCATGCGTGCGTCTGTAGTATCGCTGAGGTCATGTCTGTGTTCCATGCCCAAAGCACGGTTAACAGTCACGCTAGTTGTGTCCCACGTCCGAGTACAGCTAACCGTGGCTGGTCCCAGCTACACTACTCCAACGAAGTAGACTTTGGGGGTTAAACGTGCCCGGGCACGATGCGGATCACCCGGTGTGAGTGCACCCAAAGATGTCGCCGTGCCGCAGGGTGTGTGTATGGGATTGTGGGGACGGGATCACTGAGGCCCAGAGAACGACGCATACAGATGTCAGCGTTGTAAAAATGGTAGATGGCGTCATTGAGCCTGGAAGGAGCCCCTTTTAGACAGACTCTTCAAAGTTCTGCGGTGTGATGTATCTTCACCTTGGGTCGAACGTGACGAAAGGAGGGAGTCTGCAGTTCTGTCCCTGCCTCTTCATCTTCCCGCTCACACGAGTACCCTTTTCATTGCTCCGTTGTCCCTTTGTAGGTCCACTGTGCTGATGCTCTTTTTTTCTTCTCTTTTAAAGAGAGGACTCTTTAGAGAAAATACACTTCTGTACCTTTTCTGTCCTTTTAATATTTCTCCCTCATTCCTGGCCTCACTCTGAAGATGGTTTTTAAAGCCTGAACCTCTTGGGTTCAGACACTGGAATTTTCTCTTCCTCCACACGCCACTCCTGTCTCTTTTTTTACAGGTGCTGGTTTATTTGGGCAATTCTAGTATTGTGGAAGTGGCCTTTAGACTCGTATCGGTAAACAAAGTGCTTCAGAGCAAGGATGAGCTTAGTATCAGCGAGTCAGTTTGCGTATCTATGCATGTAACCTCTTGGGTTGAATATAGAAATCCTGAAATTGACATATTAATTTACATGTTGGAAATACTTGGCCAAAAGGGTTATGGATGTGACATCAAACTGACCTTTGCATGGAATTGCCCATTTAAGTACCAGCAAACTGTATGCTGTCATCCATAATGAAATGATGTGGTGTTACTCAGTTCCAGATTTTACTTCACACATAGCAGACCGTTCATGATGTCCTCACAGTGTTGGGTTGCGATCGCTTAGCTGATGGCCCTCACCAGCTAAACAGCTTAGCTGGCCATAGTGGATAAATGCAGTTTTCACCATGATAATGTCCCTGGCAGGGTTGTGGGTGACTCTGAAACTGCTTCCTGGAGACATCCATCAGATCCGCAAAGATTTCCCTCACCTAGTGGATCGGTCAACGGCTGTGGCCCGGAAGATGGGATTCCCCGAAATCATCATGCCAGGTGGGTCTCATGAAGCCAGAGTTGTAAGCGCTCTTGAACTTGCGCCGTTTAAGCTCATTGACCAACTGTGGGGCCCTGCGGTTCTTCAAGGTGACGTCCGCAACGACATATATGTGACGTTGGTCCAGGGAGACTTCGAAAAGGGCAATAAGACCGCATGGAAAAATGTGGAGGTCACCATGTCTGTTCACGATGAAGATGGCAAGAAACTGGAGGTAACTGTCCTGGGCTGCCTTCTCAAATGTGAGTTTAGTGGTGCATCATAATGTGTGTGTGTGGGGGGGGGGGGGGGGGTTGCATAGATCACACTTGAGGACCAAATTCTCCCCAAACCTGAAATTAAATTAAGTAAAACCTGAAATTTCCCTACTTTTGGGGACATCTTTGGAGGTCCCCATTTGGATAACCTCAGTTTTATAAAAATCTGTGAATGCAATCAAAAAAGTAAAAATGCCAAAAGTCTTGTATTTTGGTTGTTTACTTATGGTTAAGGTTAGGGATGGGTAGAGGTTAAGGGTGTCGTCATTGGGATTAGGGTTTTTCCCATAGAAATGAACGGACGGTCCCCATTTAGATAGGAAGACTAACTTGTGTGTGTGTGTGTGTGTTTTAACGCTTTAACATGAGGAGCAGTAGCAATATCACATTAGGAATCCAGCTCAGACATTTCTCGCACAAACATGCGTTGGATGCTTTGTAGAGTGTACACTGACCTTGCTTGTCTAGTGAGCTGAAGGTAACTGTTATGTTAGTTACCCTCTCGCAGAATAGATTGGAGCAGCTTTAGTGCTGTGAACTTCATTTTAGTCATTAGTGGCAGAAGTGCTTTTTCTGACTGTCCTTTAATCAGTGTGGGAAAGATCAGATAGCCAATATCTTGAAAGCTTCAGAGTAAGATTAATGCCCTAATACTCATCTGTGAATCTGAGGCATCGTGGAAGCGCTTGCAGAATCCGTGATTTATGACATGACACTGGTGATGATGTCGGAATCACTGTCCCTTTAATTCCTCTCCTTGCTGACAAGCTGGAATGTGTGTCCGTTAATGAATACGGTGCTATATGTAGTCATTTAGCCCAGACTTGGATCCGGGACGTGAATACAAAGCTCTGAACTGCGAGTGGCAATCGTTAAGGTGTGTTCTCTGCTGAAACATAGGGGTGGCTTTTCAAACCTCCTCTAATCTGAGCTGATGAACTTTCTGAGACTCCCTGATGTCCCTTTGGATTGATTAAACTCAACTTATGGGTCTGTAGGAGTTTCACTTTAATCTTCCTGTTTTATTCTTAGCAGCAGCTGTATAATTTAGGGAGGGTTTAGTTTTTTGCTGAGAGTATTTATGTCCGGGACACATCTCTGTGCCGATCTTCAGGGAACTGCTTTGTCCTTGATGATTTGCTGCTGTTTGTTCTTCCTAATGGTCCCTTACAGGTTTCAGGTACAGCATCGTGTCTTGATTGCTGTCTTTATTAATGTTACTGTTTTAATTTTTTTTTGCGCTCACTAGTCGTCCCCCCCCCCTTGGTCCTCTTGCTCTAGGGAGTCACTCGGCATCCAGCAATTGTACACAGAGAAATGTGCAGGATTCATGTTCCGTTTTTGTTGGAGGTCATCCCAGAAAACCATTCACCTTGTCCTAAGCAGCTCAAACACCAGCGGACCTGCTGTCATGCGTGTCCTGCAGCCTTAACATGGGTCACAGGATCCTAACATCAGCCTTGTTATAGTATAATAATTCCTACAGCTTTGTCAGTGAACTTCCTCTTCTGGATGCTGGATAGCGTTCTGGACAGAGGCTGATGCTTTCCCTGTTCCTGCTACTGACTTATTTTCTTTGAATATCCTCTTTTACGTTTGCATCCTCAACTCCATTAAGTGAATGTGGTTTGATTGTAACAGGTGCACAAAAGCGTCACAGCACACTGTGATATTATATGCACTGTAATAGTGATACAGTGGTTCAGCACAGTTACAGGATTATATACAGAAATAAACATTAGGTAAACAAAGGCACCAATTCGCAGAGGTGCCCTTTCAGACACGGTTCAGGTTCAGTTTTAGGAATCAGCCAACCAACTGTGTCCGAGGCAAAAAGGATAGAAACGGTACAAAGAATGTGAATAGAGGGGCGAATGTGCGGATGGTTCCCCTTTCTTTTAAATGTGTACCATAAAGGAGGACACATCTTAATTTTACAGCATGTTTGTGGGCATAAAAAGTAACAGCGACCCCAGTGGTTTGGAGGGTGCATTACACCCCATGGGTTCAGGTTGCCTCTTCCTGTGTGGCTTTTTGTTTGAGGTATTGGCGGATTTTACGATGGAATCTAATTTCCTGTTAGTGGCCTGGAATAGGTTTCTTTATAACAGTCAACAGGACCAAGTGTGGTCTTCAGTGCTGGAAGGGTTTGCCAGAGCGGTAATGAACATCACGGATGCTGCTGTGTCACATTATATTGTCGTGAGGCTCCGGGAAAATCATCATCGTCGGAGGAATTATTTATTGGTGAAATCTTTTTAAAATTGAATGCCCCTGGAGATGTTCAATATGACAGACTTTCCTCGAGGCCCGTCCTCTGAATCTTAAGTGCGTATAGTTGGTTATTGGTGTCTTCAGTCTCCTGCTAGCTTCTCATTAGCATTCATCGTCCAGCTGTGCTGCTCTACATTAGAATGAAGACCAGGGGGCTGAACCTGGTTGAATGGATGCATTCCGGCTTTTGGGCCCATTGAACGAAACGCATGATTGTAAATCCGTCCCTCATAATGACTAAACTTGGTAATTATCTTTCATGTCAGTTTCACTGGTCACTCGTTGAGTCAATGAATTCTTCCCCAGAGCGTACACGTACACGTCAACCATCGTGGCGGCGATAGGCCTTCCATAGTGAATGTCTGCCTGGTCTCCCGCTCCCAGGGTGCGATTAAAAGCACACTTCACTCCCTCTACAGGGAGGGACATCTTCCGGACCGCCGGCTTGGCTCGCCTCCAAGCATCGCTGTCTTCAGAGCAGGTTCTCTCTGGGGGGGCTGTATGTAGAGGAGAAATGCAAGTGCTGGATATGCGCCCCCCTACCTGAGAAGCGCTGGCCGTGTTGACCTGAACTTCCTCTCGTAGAAGGACCCTCCACATCTTTTGGATTTTATGTTCACTACGTCATAAATGTGTGTGGTTTGTGGTTCACGGCCCACGTGTCCCAGGGATCCAGGTCTCCTCCAGGGACTAAACGACATGAGTACATTTTAGCTGGAATGCTGCTTCGAAGTGCTGGGACTCCATAGTGCTAGAAGGCAGGATCTTGTCCTTTCTAGTCGAGACTAATTGAGTCCTATCCCGAATCATCCCGGAGCTGTCCCTAACGTCCCGGAGCTGTCCCTAACGTCCCGGAGCTGTCCCTAACGTCCCGGAGCTGTCCCTAACGTCCCTAACGTCCCGGTCTGTCCCAACACTTTCCCTAGCTTGTTTTTCCATAATTTAGAGGTGTCAGAAATAGTTATCTTAGTTAGCCCAGAGAGGGCAGCATGTGTGCATCTGCATGTGCCCCTCTGTGGGGGTGGGGGGCACTTGTTTCACATCGAGACCTAGACCTGCTACACAGCTTGGTGGGGAGTACTAATTGCCTCTTTAGCCAGGCAAGTGATCAGCCCATTTTTTGTCGGGGGGGGTGTGTGCCTGTGTGTTTTTATTCAGTAGCTTGTGGGAGGTGTGGGCACAGCCTTCAGAAATTCGAGCTTTTATATTTAGGAAGCTTATTCCATGGAGTACTACACTGCATTATTTCATCGTTCCCCTGAGTGGGACTTGCAGCACAAAATCTAAGGCTGGATTTTTTTCATGAAGGCATTGAGGCTGACCGTCTTGCATGGGAATTCATTTATACATTTTGTTTTCGATTGACTCATGCTTCCAGGTGCCTTAAACACGGACAGAAGGTCATCAGCCAGCACAGCCTTATGCCTCAGGTTGATCTGCCTGTGAATTAACAGGATGATCACATGCAGTCAGCAGTAATTGGATTCTCTTTAACCAACTATCTGAGGAGTCTGACATTTTAAACGTGAAAAACTGAACGTCCCTTAGGTTTGGCGGACAGTTCTGGGAAGGTTACTGCACAAGGCAAATGGAGATAAATTCACAGGTTTTCTTGAGTGCCTGCAAATGTTCAGGCCTATCACCTGTTCCCCATCCTACCGTCTCTAGAACGTCATTTTTCCTGGTGCTGGCGATGATGGGATCATGGACTACAAGTCTGTGATCTACTACCAAGTGAAACAATCACGCTGGTTTGAAACGGTCAAGGTGAGTCTTGAGAATTTTCCATCTGAAGATGCGTCTTATGCATTGTTTACCAGACGGGGCCTTAAAGTGCAGATGAATAAATGAATCGGAATTCGCTCTAAATATAAATGATTTGGGTCTAGTACGCTCTGACGAGCACGTTAGCTTAAGGCTTTGAACTCGCGTGTCATCTGTGAGTAGGAAAATTGGTTAGAGGACATTGCTGTCAGGAGGCTAAGTAATGAATTATTCAGAGCTATTTACTTAGTCTAGGTTTGTTTCAAGGGTTGGTGACCTGTTATAGGTCATGCAAGGAGAAATTATCATCCCACTGTCTTAAATAAATATTCATTGAGATTTAGTGCCTTCCACTGCTCACAGGCCATCCTGATTTTGGTGCTGATATGTGATGCCTGTGAGCTGTCTGTAGGGGGCGCCCTTAAAGCGCCTCTCTTTTTTTTTTTCGTTTCCAGGTGGCTATTCCCATCGAGGACGTGAACCGCAGCCACCTACGCTTCACCTTCCGCCACAGGTCGTCTACGGACTGTGAGTACAATAATCGGCCTCGACATTGCCGTCCTGTGGAGGGTCGTCCTGCTTGTGTCTCGGTCAGGAGTTACCATGTGCGCTGGGTCACAGGAATCGTGCTGGGGAGGGAGGGTGGATGGTGGCCCTGCGGGAGGCGCCGTTCCCCGGGAAAGGTCACAGCGGCCCTGAATTGCTGTCCCTCTAGGACATTCCTCACCGCTGTAGGTCTATGCTGACCTGGCAGGCTGGGGGGGGGCGTAAAGGGCAGCATTCCCTGTCACGCTCCGCTTCCCGCCGGATTATGCTGCACACCCACTCCGAGGGGGCAGTGCCAGCGACATGAGGTCATCCCACAGCTTTAAACCCCCCCCCCCCCCCCCAAGTCGGTGGGTGGGGCCTTTAGTGTTAAGTGATGAAGATATTACGTGTCAGTCTCCAAGAGACTTTGGGGTGTTCAGACCGGGGGGGGGGTCAGTTTAATCTGGACCCCCCCCCCCCCTCACTTTTTAGAACACGCCTGTCACATGCTTTACTCATACACAGCCGGGACGTGTGTAAATGGGACGGCTGCTACTCGCCCTTCAGCGTGGCTGCATGCTGCTCTTCCGGGGGCTGTGGGCTGAGGAGGATATAAGCCCTATTCTCCTGGGCAGCTGCTGTGCTAACGATCCGGGCCCCTTGTGCAGCGTGATTCTGTGCCCCCCCACCCTGCCAGGGGGGCCTCTAGGTATTGATGACGACATGGTGTGAGGTTTTACTTGTGCCGTTTGGTCGGAACGGTCCGCGGTAAACAAACCGCATCCCCCGGGGGGCGCGTTTCCTGCGAGTGTCCGAGCCGGATTTCGTTAGATAAACAAAGCGGCCTGTATCTCGCTGGCTCCCTCCTCCCCCCCCCCCCACCCTGACTCCCACCGCTCTCCTCCTATCTACAGCCACTCGCTCCCCGTCAAGCTGAATGATTATTCAGCTAGCTGGGCCTGCCGGTAGAACCCGCGCGTTCGGATGCACCTCTTCGTCCGCGGCCCGTGCCACTCCGTCGGGCCTCTAACTCATCGTCTTGCCGGGCCCATCGGGTTCTGGTTCCGCCTGATCCTCTGTGAGCCCCCCACCGCCCTGCTCCTAGCTGTTTCCCCCCCCTTGCTGTGCTCCGGCGCTTTGAAGTGTGTTTATCTAAAATGAGCATTTCCTGCCCTCCAGCCCCCTCCCGGTGCCCCTCGTTATCTACCCCCCCCCCCAGGAGATAGGTTGCCGTCTCCTGGTAATGGAGTATAACTGAGGACCCCACTTGTTTCTGTGTCACGTGACTGGAGTGGAAGGGGGTTGTGGTAGTCTGCATACATATGTGGAAGGGGGGGTTGTGGTAGTCTGCATACATATGTGCACAGGGTCTCCACCCCCTTCCGGCAGGGCAGTCATGTTGCTTGTGGTGACCCTCGCTCAAGCTGGACCAGCTCTGTTGGCTGAACCTATATCAGGCCCCAGTCATTTATCTTCAGTAAATTAGAAGCTCTCAATTTAATTCTTCATTTTTTTTTGTACGTGCTGAGTGGAATCAATGGTTGAAGTCTGTTTCCGTCTGGGTCCCAGATGGGGACATCCAGGGACCGAAGAGTGGCCCCCACCATGACAGTTGCCCTAATCATCTCACCACCTCTTTGTCGCCTATGCAGCAAAGGACAAGTCGGAGAAAATATTTGCCCTGTCATTCGTCAAACTGATGCGGTACGACGGCACGACACTGCGGGATGGGGAGCACGATCTCATCGTCTACAAGGTAAAAAGTCTGTGGAATCTTCCAGAAAGGTTTATCCCGGGAGAGTCGTGCGGCCACCTCCCTGAGCGTCCCGGTGTTGCAGGCGGAGGCGAAGAAGATGGAGGACTCTTCGCTCTACCTGAACCTCCCTGCCACCAAGATGGAGATGGAGGAGAAGGGCTATGCCACAACCAGCAGGAGCATGCTGAACCTGAGCAGCTGCACCATCAGCAAGGACTGCTTCCAGATCTCCACCCTGGTGTGCTCCACCAAGCTCACGCAGAACGGTAGGGGATGTGCGTTTGAAAGTATGCAGATGTCATTGGTCTGTGTGTTGGAGGTATTTCGGATGATGTCACTGCTATTTGTTTTGGAGGTGGGGCTTGTTGGCAACAAAAATCATTGGTCTGTATTTTGGAGGTATTTCGGATGATGTCATTGCTATTTGTTGTGGAGGTGGGGCTTTTTAGCTGGCTCACCGTAGCGAGGGCGCAGGAGGGCACTGTTTGGCATTTTATATCTCAATCTGCTCCACACCAGGCCCCAACTGAGGCCTTGCGGTCGCTCGTGCTTTTCAGGACAGGCTGCGTACATGTCCTCTCCAGCCTTAAGAGGATTAAGGAGTTTCCCGGCAAGAGAAAGTGACATGAAATCCTGGCCTCGGCGTGCGGCCACTTTCCCGTGCCCGTCTCGGCCGGCTAATGTGCTTTGCTCCAGTCCAAATCACATTACACTGTTTATTGTTTGTAATGCCGGCTCTCTTACCTATTTTTACGGCAGGATAAATATCGTGGTGGTTCAAAAATAAGTACCGTCCTCCGCTTATAGTTTTTGATGGCGGGGGGCCGGTGGAGGAAGTCACTTCAGTTACTCCGCCGATGGCAGCGTCTCCGGCTCTGCGTGACAGTTAGCGCAGATGTCCCCAGACAGTCACATCTCAGTCCCTCCCCTACGTTGGGAGGGACAGCAATAAAAGATAAATAGCAGGATGAAGTGACAGTGCAAATGGCTGTGCGTGACGTGAACATTATTTTACAGGGAGAGGCCTGTTTACTGCAGGTTACTTGGGTGGGATCTCTGAGTGTAGATGGCAGCGTGTGGCTCAGCAGGTTCGGGCGCCGTGCCTGCGATGGGAAGGTCGCTGGTTCGAGTCCCAGACTCGGCAGCGTAACTTCACTGCCGTGCCCCTGAGCGAAACCCTCAAGCCGCAGTAACTCCAGGGATTGACTGACCCTGCATTCTCTCAAAAAAGAATCTCATTGCATAATAGTATCGGCTAAGTAAATATGATGTAGATAGATAAATGCAGATGGTATTTTAGTATCATAATTGACATTTTAGCAGCTGACCGGAGGGAAGAGCGAAGTGGGAGACCTTGCATGCATTCTTATTCACGCAGATACGCAGGAGTCCCCTGCCACAACTGAGCATTCTGCTCTGCTCTCCAATCCGACGTTGTTTTTCAGATCACAGATCTGTAGTCTTTTGGCTGAGCGTGACGGGAAGCGGTCTGGTTTTGTTTGCGTGTTTGTCAACGTGACTCGCACATCGACTCCGTGCTCGGGAGCGGAGGGATTTGGCTTTATGAAGCTGGCAGATCTGTGCAAAATCTGTCTAATGTAGCGCGATTAGCTGAGGCTTAAGGACCAACCGGTGCATTAGTGTCATCTTCAGTTTTTCCTAAAAGGGCAGACAGAAAGCCCCTTTCATTGTCATGGAAAATTACTGCTAATGCAGAGGTATATCGTCAGGTGACATGCAGCTCCTTGCTGCTGTTCACCTGGGTTTCAGTGAGACGTGTGCTGACTGCTGTCTTTTAAAAGCCGGTAATGAGACTGAGGATTCCGCATTGGCTCCTGCGATGTTTGGCATGAAGCAGGCAGTTTCCGTCCTTTGGAAAGTCATTTCCACCGCAGCTTGACACGCATGTGCACGAGCATTTGTGTGAGTCAGGTGACTTACTGATGAGAACTGGAATCTTATGTACGTTTTGTTTTACTGTGGTATATATACTAAGTATTGTTTTGTTTCTTTTACATCTTCGATTTTACTGGGCACCTTTATTCATCCATTTATAGTGTGTGTCCAAATTTTTCTGCTTCCTGTCGCTAAATGACGACCTTGATTTTGGTGTGACATGGCCATAGACACTACTTGATATGACATTAAACTTTCAAATTACCTACCTTCTTAATCAATGGAGGTCCGCTGCCCCCAAGGTTTCGAGGAATCCTCAGCTGGACGGGCGTCCAGGGGAACTGGCTGGATGACAGGCTGGAATCGACCACTTTGCTCCTTTGTGTGACTTTGAGCGAAGTATCTTAGTATTTTTTTTGTTCAGTTTGTTCGTTCGATGACTTTTGGCAGTTGGGACTTAGACTCACATCCACTGCCACAGGTTTATCGTACTAAGCGGTGGCTCGGCTTAAGCGGGGGCGGGGACTGGGAGGGGGGGGTGCCCTGCAGCTCGCGGGGGCTGCGATTCTCCACCCCACTGCGGGGAATCGATATTTGCACTTCTGTTCGAGGCGGTAATTTGTGGATCCCTGGAAACCCCCCCCCCCCCTCCCGCTACATAAAGCTTTGATTAAACAGACAGCCTGGGGAGTCTCTCCTGCCATCGCTGCAGAAAAGGCCAGGTTCCTTTTAGCAGAGGGGGGTCACCGCTTGTCCACTCTCGCAGCTGACTGGGTGCGACTCCAGCCTCGCTACAGCTCGGTTCGGCGTATATGTCAGTGTCCAGAGCAAAGCTTTTACTTCCATAGTGAACTGACACTTTTCATAGGCTTGATGCAAGATCCTCAGGAATCAGTGACGCCGAATAACATGAGGTTGCAATAGTTGATGATCTTTGTTTATGCGTAACAAGCCAGTGACACATGATTCTGCTTTTTGTCATTGTCACTTGTGGGCAATCAAGGTTGACGAATTATGCTTCTGGTGTTCCCCAGAGCTCTGTCCCATCTCGCCAGTATTACTTTAGCAGTTAATTTATTGTTTACAAAACTAGGCTGCAGGATACCTGCCTTTAGTACTATGGAAATTGACTTCTGAGAAATCTGGGAAATGTCACTGTTGACTGAGAGGTAAGATGCGATGTCGTGGATGGCTTTTTGCAAGGGCATGTGTTGTACTGTAGATGCCAGTATAGATGCTGGTCAGCACGGTGCAGCACCTGTTCTTCCGTCCCTCTTCTGTGGATAGGTGGTGCAGCGTATGGCTCTCTGCATGTTTTCCCAGGAACACAGAGCCTAAGAACGAGAACGAGAACGGCCCTTTCATCTTTTATTGTATGTTATCCAGCGCAGAGGTAGACAACATTGTTAAAGGCATTACATTTGTTTCTGCTGGCTGCATGTGACAGAAGATGTATAGCGCTTGCAGATTCGTGCTGTGCTCGTGCCCTTTTGTCTGGTTGTCATGGAGCACGCCGCCCTGAAGGGGGCAGTACTGTTAATTTTCCCCTGCATCCGGCACCACCCGGCCTCCCCCCCACCCTTCAGCGTGCAGATGCGTGCTGTATTCTACCGTGCCGCGTCTTGTGATTTTATTTTCAATGTACTTCATTTGTCTTGCTATGGTGAAGCCGTACATCTAAAAAAAAATAAAAATAAAAATCTTTATAACTGTTGACTGATCTCTGGTCTGCAGAGTCTGTAAATTCTGTGCAGGTCGCCAACACGGCAATCAGTCCGGAACGTTCTTGACTCCTTCAGTCTTTCCACTTTGAACTTCTAACGTACGTATAAATGTATTTAAGGAAGGCTTGAGTGATTCTGTTAAGTCCCTGATTCGTAAAGGCTGCCTGAATTAAAGGAGGTATTTCCTGGTGTCCCGCTGTACCAATTAAAGTAAAATGACTTTGATCCCAATGCCATAGTGGCAGATTCCTGGGCTACGGCTGGGTTTGGGTAGCATCCAGCCTAAATTATACCTGAACTCCCAGTTAGGGAGCCCTGTTTTTAAGTGAGGATTTATTCAAGAAAATCAATTAACAAGATGGCTAATTTGCCCTTAAACACGGCGGCTGAGGTGTTTACTTTGATATTTCCCCGCAGCCACTTGCTGCTTTTCCAATCGCCACGGTAATTAACTCCATGCTAACTCTCCTTCTCCCCGCTGTCCCGTCTGCTCCGGCCTGCCAGTGGACCTGCTGGGTCTCCTCAAGTGGCGCTCCAACATCAGTCTCCTGCAGCAGAACCTCCGGCAGCTCATGAAGGTGGATGGAGGGGAGGTGGTGAAGGTGCGTACCGACCCCCCCCCCCAGTGGGAGGCAGCTGGAGTCCACACGAGGGAGGGAGGAGGGGTACTTCAAACATGAAGGGGCTGGATATTCCTGTATGTAATTCCAGCTTTTATTTTCCTGAAGCGGTTCTTGCCTGAAACGCTTTCTTCATAGTATAATTGGCCTGGGGAATGAAGCGATACGATGAAAGCTCTCGGCCTGGCGGGAGAGAGACCCCCAGAAAAAGGAAAGGGGGGGGGCACGAAAGTTAGCCAGCGGTGTGAGGTGGCCAGTGTTGGTGGGTGATCGATTCGCGCGCAGTCCGGCTTTGCTCTGGGATTAATTACTCGTAACGAAGTCTCTCAGCGTTCCGGCAGCCTGAGACCTGCACTGAAGAAATCAAAATTACGTGCCGAGGTTTTGAGGTGCGGTGGCGGAGTAGAGACGTCCGGCTCTTTCTCCAGCGGCTCAGGAGCCGAAGCTGAACCAGCACATGTCCGGACTGAGAGTTCGGAGTTCATTACAGGGGGCTTTGGCGGGTGGATGTGCAGAGATCGCCCCCTGCAGGACAGGAATCAGGACAGCCAGAACAGGCTAAGCCTTTCGTGTTTGACAGGAGCAGGAAAAAGCGGGAAATGTGAAAAGCAGAACCGCAGAGCTGTAATTGGACTAAAAATCTAGTTCCCCCCCCCCCCCCCAAGTGTAACAAAATCATTACATTTTCTGTGTAATGCAGGTATTGATTTAATTTTTAGTGCTAAATAAGTAGATTGAATTTGAGATTGTTGTGGTGTAGTTTGGTGTTTATAAGGAGTTTTGATTGGGTGATCATTTGTAAAGCATTAAAAAGCTTAAAAAGAATTATATGACATTATTGTGCCTAGTGTGGCGTGCATGAGACATAGATCTGTTCAATTTAGTGGTGCTGGAGATGACCCACTGCTGTGTGTGTGTGTGTGTGTGTGTGTGTGTGTGTGTGTGTGTGTGTGTGTGTGTGTGTGCATGCATATAAAAACATAAGGTGAGGGTTTGAGGAGGGGTATCTGTCTCCCTGCTGTGTGGTAAATTGTTAATTTTATCCATGTATGTGTAGCAGGAAGGGTTTGGGAGAGTTGGTTTTTGTTAACAGGAGGGTTTTCGGTTTTTACGAAGGAAGTGTTAGTTTAGTCTTTCTGTAATTGTGTGCGAGAGCAGAGGCGGCCTGTCCGGTGACCGCTGACCGGTGTCTGGTGACGCGGGGGATTACTTCAGCTCTGCTTGGCTCTTTCTGCTGTCCCTCTCACTGCGAGCTTTATCATTTGACGGGAGCTGAGTTTTTGACAGCTCGCCGTTGGGTCATCATTTAGAGTTTTTTTTTTTTTAATGCTGTGTGGTGCAGCACTTGAACGGGGGATGCAGGTATGGAACATTCCGGCTCCAGTGCACGTCACCGGTGGCCTTCTGAAGTCCTCGCATCCTCTTGCTCTGTTCCTTAAAGCCACGTCTAAATCTCTTCCAGTTTCTGCAAGACACACTGGATGCTCTCTTCAACATCATGATGGAGAATTCGGACAGCGACACGTTCGATACTCTGGTGTTTGATGCCCTGGTGAGGAGGAGACACATTTATGATGTTAAATGTTTATATTTCAATCTCAGCTGCGTTCTATCTGTCCTGTAAGACCCTGGGGTTACTGTTCCCTCCCTACCCCCCCTACGAAAATGCTTCAAAGGGTCTGACAGTGTCCCTACTGGTTCTGTAGGGGGCACTCATGTGTAAGACAGACAAGGCCCTTTTTAGCGAATGCCGGTGGCAGTGCGGGTAGTTGTACTCCAGCATTCTAAAAAATATCTGTAGAAGGATACCAAGTAAGGGGTTTTTTTTTAATACTGTTGTGAAAGTGACCTGGGCTAGAATTACTTATGTGAACTGATGTCCCAGTTATCAAATATTGTTTTTAATTCAATTTAAATATCATTTTCAAATACTAAGTGTACCTGTGGAATGTTGAAGTGACCTTAGTGCAGTAATTAACTGCTGTTAATGTACTGGTAATTATATTGTGAATGAAGCATTCATCAACTGGCCTCACATGACAGCCCCCAAAACCACCGTCACATGATCATAGTTGCACCAAGGAGTGATTTGTCGCTAAAGAATCTCCCACGCAGCCTCTGTACTGCAGCGCTTGCTCATTTTATCCCCCGCAGTTCACTCGAGATATTGTGAAAAATTGGATAATTTGACTTCTGATTAAGTAAAATGATGTTTTGTTAAACCAGCAAGCCCTAATTAACATCATAATGTGTTACCTGCATTCCCCGTTTCCCTGTCTGGTGCAGCCCGCTGTCAGTAATGCAGGGTTCCCCAGTTCCGGTCCTGGAAATCCAGTCTGCACCACAGTTTACACATTTCCCTGCTCTAACACACCTGCTGCTGAGCTGAAAAGGCTGTGCTTGAGCAGGGAAATATGCAAACTGTGGTGCGGACCAGCGCTGCAAGACCGGAACTGGGGAACCTTGCCTTGGTACTTTTGCTGCTTTTTTCTGCTGTGAGTCTTTCCCTGAGCAGATCCACCGCCCTGCATGTCTATCAGTGTCGCCTCCCGTTGGTCCTTCCCCGGCGTCCCTTTCTAAGCTGGCTGCGGAGATGGCCTTGTGTCTGACCCCCCTGCAGCTAATGAGTGCCTCTGCTTCCTTCTGACAGGTATTCATCATTGGGCTCATTGCCGACAGGAAATTCCAGCACTTTAACCCTGTCCTGGAGACCTACATTCGCAAGCATTTTAGTGCCACTCTGGCCTACACGTGAGTATGCTTTTTATTTAATTATGAGTTTACTACACTTTTCACATGCTAAGAGCAACAACCTTTCCCTATAAGTAATATAAAAATTTATAAATGCATATATTTACATGTGTATATATGTATGTATATATGTATGTGTGTGTGTATATGTATATATATGTGTATGTGTGTGTGT